GCTTGTTCCTAATTAGTCGACTTTCGTTATACCTGATGCATAAGATGTAGCAAAGTGTAACTGGCAGCCTATAAGCCTGTGTAAACCTACAGATGGGGCCCAGAGCTTGGAGTGTTAGCTCCTCTGGGCCCGCTGGCGTGATAAACCTGAGTTCTCCAACTCTCTGAGTGCTGCTTGGTCTCTCGCCCGGATCCAGGTTGCTGTCACAACTGAGCTGTAACACAGAGCTGTAACACACTTTTCCGCAACAGTAAGACATGTGATTTGCAAATATTTTTTCCCATTCTGTAAGCTGCCTTCTCACTCGCTTGATAATATCCTTTGGTACACAAAAGTTTTTAATTTTGATGAAATCCAGTGTATCTATTTTTGCTTTTGTTGCCTGTGCTCTTTGGTGTCCTAAATAAGGATTCATTATCTAATCCAAGGTCATGAAGATACACCTGTTTTTCTTCTAAGAGTTTTAATTGAAGTTTTAGCTCTTATATTTTAGTCATTGATCCATTTTCAGCTAGTTTTTGTATACGGTGTGAGGTAGGGGGCCCAGCTTCATTTTTTAGCATGTGGAAATCCAGTTGTCCCAGGACCGTTTTTTAAAAGATTGTTCCTTGTCCTTTTTAATTAGCTCAGTAACCCTGTCGAAACTCCACTGGCCATAGATATGTTTTACTTCTGGACTCTCAAGGCTATTCAACTGGTCTCTACCGATCCTTATTACAGCACCACGCTGTTTTGTCATACATAAATCAATTCTGACTACAAGAGAAATCAGTCACAAGACTGTCTGGAAAAGACTTTCAATCATTTGTCTGAAATGAAGACTCTCACCTGAGAACACCACGGGTCTGGAGGACTGCTTTGCATTCTGGGAGTGCTGCTTCTTTTCCAGCGCAGTCAGCATTCCCCCCAAATCCAACTGTACTGGAATCTGGCTCTTCTTTCCACTATTTTTAAAATTATTCTAAGAAGGTCAGAAATCAGAAATTTATTTATAATAGCATATTTTACAACTGTGCTCTTCATCTTATGACAAAGTCACATCATTAAAGGTAAGATGGTACACGTTTAGAGACTATAATAATCTTAACATTTTTAAAAAACTGAAGAAAAACCCAATCAATCCCACTTTACCTGTCAACGTTGCCCTCATGGTTGTTCATCTCCTTTCACAATACTGGTTTATACGAAACCACCTACATTTCTATCTACATCTCCACTGTGAAGAACAGAGTTCATCTACACGTTAGGAGCCAAGGCTTGTACGTTGCATAATCTTTGGCTACACAAGTCTGCATGTGAGGCTAACTGATGGTATCATTGCCTCGTTAGCACCATGCACTTTCCAACTGCCGAAGAGAGACAACCAACTGCCATGAAATCTTGGAGACATGACCATTTACACAAGTGCAACCACATCCAGCAGTATTAAAGTATTAAGCTTAGGCACAAAGTTAGATATACTCTGAACACACGCTACTTCTGGCATCACTGGGATCTGGATCTTGAGACCGTACAAAGGCTGCACGTGCACGCTGCCTTCTGTGCGTCTGCACCTCCACTCCTGCCCTCCCACCGCTGTTCTCTTCCCTGGCGCCAAACCCCCACCGGGAGGGGGCTCACGGCAAAGGGCGAGGGCCACGCGCAGCACAGGCCGCTACACAACACCTCTGTGCGGGGGGAAGAGGACCAAATTACAAAATATGAACACAAAGTTACCGGGGTCTAGAACTGTACTTTTCACAAACGTGAAACTTGTTACCCCACTGTGAAAGGCAAAAGGACAACGAACATGCCCAGAGCTTGCACGTTCTCCATCTGGATCACGAACTACAAGTTCATTCCCGGATCCAAGAGCTGTGTCTTCCTCTGATCCTGACGACTCAGAGCGAGATGCTCGTGGCCCTTTCCCCCCCAGTCAGACATCGCTGCCTCAGAAGGGAGCTGTTTCTTGGATAAACTAAGCCAACCTTTCCTCTTTAAACTGAACTTAGACAGGCGGTCTGTGGTTCGTCTGTGGTTCCCTCCCTTCTCTATACAGCCATGGCAGCTACCAGCGGCCTTATTACAAAAGTGACAGAGCGGTTTCAGGGTCAGGGACACTGCTTCAACACACCACATGCAGTTCAAGGAAGGAACGAACCAAAACAAAACCACGTGTCTCCCACACAAAGAGGTCTGGAGGGTTTAGTTTAGCAAGAAACGTTACGCCTGAAGCAGTTGTGGTTTCAGCCTAAACATGACCTGTGGCTGCTGCTTAGACTGAACTCTCGGGGACTCTGCTCTGTCTCTTCTTTCAGATGCAGCTGCCAGACTGGGGAGCTCCTCGGCACCCTAAGTGGAGCACACGCCTTCAGCGCCTCGGGAACCACGAGAACCAAGTACGCGCAACTACAACCTCTCCCTCGCTTGTACGTTCCTTCTGTAATCATCTCCCATGAAAGCACTCAAAGGTGTCATAAAACAGTGAGAAAACAAAAAGAAAGCCCTGTAACGTAAGTGCTTCGGCTTTATTCTACTCTCAGAACAAATTCCGAAGACCGCGGCCCTAATCCCCGCTCCGGGGCCTCAAGGATGTGGGTGCACCGGGCGGTCTACAGAACCACCCCTCAGCACCCTGGCACCCACCCTTCAACTCTGCTTCTCTTTAGAGAAGCCATCAATCTGGACTCAGGAGATGCAAGTGTCCTGTCACATGTGCTGATCCCCGGTTAGAAAAAAGAAACCAGGGAACAGGTCTCTAAACAACTGTTTAAATCATTTAAAAATGTCTTAACGTGCTCCTGTCAACATTTTAGGCACCCTGGAGAAATTATGTGAGAAACGGGGCAGAAACATGAGTTACTTGTTGCCCCAGACAATAATGCTCTACCATGGTCGTGGGTCTTCAAAGAGGCAGTCCCGTTATCCTCAAGGGAATGTTCCAAGAGCCTTGGCAGCCCCCCAAGTCTGTGGGCACACCCTGGGCTTGGCCCTAAGCCAGAGGCCTGGGGAGCGCTGCTGACAGACACTTCCACCCGCACGGAGCCAGGCTGCTGAGTCTGGTCCTGCAGACCCCTGAGAAACAGTCAGAGTTCAGGACAGCCCCTTGGAGGACAGGGACATTCCTGGAGTATCACAGGTAACAACGTCCAGAGTGCTTTCAGATGGTCATGACATTCTCTTCCTGATCAGGGCCCACAACAGATCTACGGTTTTCTAAACACATCATACCAAGACTTCTGGACAGAAAAGGAGGCCCTGCAGAAGCCAGCATGCCAAAGCAAGGGAAGAACAAGACAAGAAGATACTCACAAGGAGTATGTATCAGTAGTATGGCATACACACCATGACATTTTAATACAAGCAGTTTTGTCTCTAGGCCACTCACTCACTCACTCATTCATTCAAATGTTTACTGAGTGCCCACTACGAGACGGGCACTGTGCTGGGACGCCAAAGTGAGGAAGTGGAGAAAATGGGTGACAAGTACTTTCTTTAGCACTGGGAAAACAATTACTAAAGAACATGTTGGAGAATTTTCACTTAGGCAACCAGCAGGAACCCGTATTTCTATTAAGGAAGACCCATTTATTACACCATACAAGCTGAGTAATAAACATAAATGTACCTCAATCCTTGGTGGCTCCTGAACTGTCAGGACTTCGTATTTCGATTTAGACTTTTCCTTCTTTTTCTTATTCCTTCTTGAGGCTTCGTTTTGCTCAGGATCGCCACCTTGTGATGCTTTGGACTAGAACAAAAAACAGCAAAAATCATGGGTTTTTAAGACACTCAGTAACTGTTTAATTCCACATACAGGAATAAAATTAAGACATCAAGTTGCACAACCACATGGCAATTTTACTCAGAGCTACTCCCTTTTTTCCCAAATAGCCAGCATTTGGTTAAATGATTTTGAAGGAAAAAAATCCACTGAAACAGCCGTCACGTCCAACTACCTTGGAACTGACAGACTCGGACATAACACTAGTTTTCAACTTGAGGTCATGTTAATGACTCTTACACTAATAGCAACTTGAAGTCCTTTCGTAAATCCAGGTGTGCCGTTTCTATCACCACAGCCCAGGGGTTCCTGAACTTGACCGTACGTTGCAATCACCCGTGGAACCTTCAAATCAGACATGCGTTTGGGCTCATCCCAGACCTGCTGGATTTGACCGCATCGCTTCCACTCTCCCTGGCCTCAGTCCCCTGGCCTTTCCTCAATCACGTCAAGCACGCTTTGGCCTCAGGCCCTTTTTTTCTTTTTTTTTAAATGAAGTACAGTCAGTTACAATGTGTCAATTTCTGGTGTACAGCACAGTGTCCTAGTCATGGATATTCATACATATATTCGTCTTCAGATTCTTTTTCATTAAAGGTTATTACATGATAGGCCTCAGGCTCTTTGCACTTACACCTACACATCTGGATCTCGGCTAAGTCCGTGCCCTCATTTCAGCTCCAGGCACCTCAGCTCTATCTAACCTCTTACTCTCAGTCTTCTCTGGAGCACTGATCACCATCTAACAGGTTCTGTGCTGGTCTCTCACCATGAGAACGGAGGCTTGAAGAGGGTGGGAACTTTATAATGTCTGAGACCTTGTCTAATTCCCAACGGGAACTTACCCTTTAGAGGTAAAAGCCTCGAAGGGTATAGCTCAAGTGGTTTTCAGAGCGCATGCTCAGCACCCAAGAGGTCCCAGGTTCAACCCCTAGTACCTCCTCCAAACAGAAATCAATGAATAACCCTAATTACCTCCCTCTCATAAAACAAACAACACAAGAGGTAAAAGCCTCGATGGCCATTATCTACTAACCTGGCCATGGTATTCTGTTAAGTGAAAAAGGCAACTTTTATGGGTAATGTGCAACAAATTATCGCATTTCTGTTTTTTTAAATAAAAAACTTAACAAAATAAACGTCTTTATTTGTTTATTGCATATTACATTTATTTGTTTATATGTTTACTATGTTTGTTGAGACTGTTAATGGAGGCTTCCTGAAGGGTGGGAACCAAAGGGGTACGGGAAAACGACCTTTTCCATAATTAGATCCTTGTAGTATTTCGTGTGTCACTTCAGTAATAAAAATTTACAAGACAAAGTTTTAGAGAGGGGGGAAAAAACATTAGGACCATAATGCAAAGCCATCTGGGTTATAAGATTAGGGAGATCTTTATTTTCTCATCTTTTTTTGGAACTTCTCTACAATAAACTTTTCTTACACCTCTAATTAAAAAGTAATTTTTCAAAAGATGCTGGGAACATAAAGCAAAGTCGGTTAATTCTTAGAGTGCTGAATGCACATTAGGAAAACAGGTTCAGATGGTGACTTGGTGGCCACAGGGAAGAACCAGCCAGAGGCCTGCTAGACAGCCTGCACCCAGACGCCGGCAGGGTTTCAGAGCTGGCCAGTCTCCGGCCAGTCTCGCCACCACCTCCTGGGCTCCTCAGATGTGTGTGCATATAGCTGTGGGGAACAGGCACACAGGTCGGACTTCACTGTAACTGTCACCAACACAGATTCCCTCGATCAACCAGGCACAAACGCACAGCTCCTGTCTGTCTGGGGTGGTCTAAGACACTGTGGATATCAAAAAGTATCCTGATACTCAAAGACAGGGAACCAGCACACTCAACAAATATGACCATATTTCAACCAAAAATAAATCAGTACACAGGGAAAATCGAGCACAAAATCTAGCCCAACAAAAAACGGCTCTTCAAGAAACAAATCTAGAGATCAATAAAAATCGCAGCTTAAAAATATCTGAATTGACAGGAAAAAACGGGTTCTGAAATGCTATCTTACAATAAGTAAGTTGCAATTAACGAAGAATCAGTAACATACCAGATGATCGTGATGGAATACAACTATTCTGCTACGAGTACCTGGCAGGCAAAAGCCATGTAGAATTCAGCAAAGGCTGCAGCCCTTTATAAACCAGAGCAAAAGCTTCTGCCAGCATCTCTTTTGAAGAGATCGAAACGGCCCACAGATCTAAAATGCACATCCTCGCTCATGTTTAAGCTACCACTCGTGTCCCTCGACTGAGATCTTACTCTTTTCTCAAGACGCAAGTACAACCAACTCAGATGAGTGGCTACAGCACAGGCAGAAACACTTCCGCTTAGCGTCTGAGAAAAAAGGAAGACTATCTGGTCGCGCAGGAAAGCAACATAATCAAAGTGTGACGCATACCTTTCTCGCAGGATGGGCAACGTGTTTCTCTCTGTAGGAAGGAGCCGAAGATAAAACTTCAGAAGACGACATACTACCATTTTTAGGATCTGCTGATGAAGCAACCATCTTTAGGTTTATCATGGAAGTAACATTTTTAGGGGCTGGTGACAGTTCTGTAGATAATGTCTGCCGAACAACATAACCCATTGGTGTCCAAGATAATTCTGCTCAAAGATAACCAAAATTGTTGAACAATCTCAACAGTAAAATAGAAATTACTTAGAAACTCCAAACATGCATCACATGAAGTACTCAAGAATACAGTTAAATGAAGGTATTGTTCAGAACGTTCTCTTGGCGCCACTAAACTTGTTTTTCGTCTTGGAACATGCATGCCGAATTGACTTGCAAGGGAGCTGATTTTCCTAGGCACTGTTCTTTTAACTGGGAGGTGCGGGTGGTAGGCAAACAATAGTTTCCGTTAAAAAAAGACAACAATCCACAACACATCCACGTGGCAAACACACAGAATTAACAAGCTAAAGATCAGACTGTGGCCCTACTAACCTGGATGTGTACCTTTAATATCAGAAGTCAAAGATCGCTAGACTTCAGCTAGCACGATAACTGGTCAATTATTTCTTTTTACAACACAGGCATAGCACAGTTTCTTTTTAGAACAGCACTCCTTAGGTGCCCGTGAAACTCTACATACAGACAAAACAAAAAGGCGTCCATCAGGACACGGGCAGGTCACGCCAGCAGCCTGCGGCCACCCCACTACGGGTGCACCACAGAGCTACGCACCCTTACTGCCACTGAAGTGAAGCGCTCTCCTAAACCACACACCTACCAAACACAGTAACGCAGGAGAAAACACACCCGGGAATGAGTCCAGAATAGTTCTGTAAAGACGTCGTCCGTCAGGACAGGCCAGTCATATAAATTTCGGAAGCAAAAGCCACTGAACGCTCAACCGCACACGGCTGGGCCAGGTCAGGACGGGACGGCAGCTCTCAGAGTGGGCTCCGAGGCTGCCAGGACCCTCCCAGGGGTCCCAGTCAGGAGCGTTCTCCTGGTAACAGGAGCATGCCGCCCGCCTTCCCCGCTCTCCCCCGAGGGGGTACAGCGGCCGTGCCACAGGGAACAGTGAAACAGCCGAGTGCGAAGAGGGCTACTGAGCCAGACGGTAAAAAGTTGTGCAACATAACTGACCAGTTTTTTAACTCCGGAAAAGAGCTGTTTTTCTAATTAAAATGTGCTATGTCAACGTGTACTGGGTTTATTACTGTTACTTTTAAGTGAACTGGTAAATATTTTGTCTCAGTTTCAACTTCAGATAATACGAATGTGGACAGTTATCCAAGTAAACAGGAGCTCTCTGGGGTTTTTAAAGGGTGTTAAGGGGTCCTGAGACCAGAAACTTTGAGAACCACGGGCACAGGTAATGCTTAAGCAAGTAGTCATGTCTGAGTTCAGGGAATGTCTCACTTAACGGGACAAATGTTTCGTTTAGAATTTTCTACTCGCATCTAACACTCCTTGTGTCTGGATATGCGATCTCCTTTACTTCAGTCTTCTAACAATGATGTCGGTTTATCAACAACCCATCGGCTGCCTCAAAGAAGGGTTAGCACAAAAACACTTCAGTTGCAATGGACTAAGAATGAACTGAGAAAGCAGACAACCGGATCTTCTAAAACCGTATTCGGCAGCCACTCTTACCTCTCGTGCACGAGGAGGGACTGGCAGCAGCGCTAGCAGTTACAGACTCGGTCGGGTTATTGGTTTTCACCACTATTTCGCCCTAAAAAGCAAACCAGTTATTTTCTTACCATTTCAAACTAAACGTGAGTCATTACTTTTAAACTATACAGCTTCCTTTGTCATTCTTTAAAACCTGCAAAATGTACGTTAATTAAATATTCCAAACACATCAGCAGGGAATATGAGAAGTCAAATTCTTTTCTTCTGCCAAATTTCACTCCCTGGAGGAGAAACCACCTACTGTCTACAGCTTAGCTAGCTTCATTCTACGTCTCTGCCTAGGAGATAAACATCTGTGTGTCATTTCTACACAGCTCTCAATAAGGAGATCACATTACACGTAACAGCAGGTAACTTTAACATAAACGTATCATCAACAATTTCCAAGTCAGCACATCTGTGCCTGCCTGACTCCTGAAGCCACCTGCCCCCAATGAACACGCAAGCCCCCTCACCAAAGCTCAAAAACAAATCCCTCACGACGTCTACAGAGGCAACTACAAGCCTTCTGATGCGTACGCTCTTTTGTAGACAGGAAGCCGCCACACGCGAGCAACAAGAGGCGCCAAACAACACGGGGGGACGTGTGAGCACATTAAAGGAGACCTCAAAGTGACTGGCTGCACCCAAGGTGACAGGAAATTGGTAAATTCAAACTGAATGGATTTAAAATAAATTCAGAAGTTCATACATGTACCCATTTTACCATTTCATGACATCTAAGTCTAAAAAAAAAAACCGTCCAGCGGCCAAGACCACCGACTGCTGAACACACGTGCACCGCTTTTCTGTCTGGGGACGGGAATCCTGGCAGCCTACGAGAGGTGTTTCCGGATAGTGTAAAGGACCTGTTCTAAACTAGGACACAAAGCCACTACCTTCATTAAAAACAAAAACAACGCAAAATCTTTCAGTCCCCGGCCCCCCCGGGGCAGAGCTCACTAAGGGACTGGAAATGCCTCCGTCACCCCGGGCCCTCCTGCCCCAGCGTTCCCCAGACTACGACCCACAGCTTCCCTCCAGAGAACAGGTGTGGCTTCCTGGGCGGACAGGTGTCACTTGCTAAGCTGCAGGCTCCAAATTACTGCCCAATAGACGCACATCACACACATCTTGCAGGAAGCGCCACACAGAGCAGCGGCCCCCTCCCGGGAGCTCGGAGCTGCCTGCTCCCACCTGCTGCAGGACTGAGGATTCCTGCCTCTGAACAGGCTCTCGGTGATTTCACTACGCTACCAAATGAATGCAAGACAAGGGCCATCTGGGAAGTGAACTTTTATCTTCAATGGAGCATTTTTGGAAGTTTGGCAAAGCCGAAGATGCTACTCTCCCTTCTATCAGCGTCCTTCTCAGCTTCCAAAACACCGGGCTGTCCCGGAGGAGACGATGTGGCATCAGCATGGCTCTGCGGAAGTGAATGCACCCTGAGAAACAAATTCTCATCTGGTCCCATTCTACAGGCTGCTCTGTTCTCTATGGAGGTTCGACAGACACGGTGTGTAAAGCAAAAATGTTAACCAAGACAGAATAAACTCATCAAAGGAGGGAAAAAAAGACTAAAACACAGCCTGCTCTTTGAGGAAGTGCAACTTTTATGCACACCAAGGCCAATGGAACACTAGAAATGCCTTATCTATTCAAGAATGGTTGAGCAAATTACGTATTATTGCTATCAAAGATTCAATCCAACAGTTTAGTTTTCGGAAAATATTTACTGACATGGAAAAAACGACGCACAAGTGTTACAACTTCAAGCACAAGCCCATATGTACGTCTCCAAAATTGAGGGGACTGGGCTGTCCCGCAATTGCCACAACATATAGTTGGAAAAAAGTGCCAAACGTGGTTTTCTCTCAGTTGTGCAACTTCAGACAATTATATTCTTTGTTTTTCTTAATATTTTTCTGGTGTTTAAAGATGCTACTAATATAAACAGCAAAAAAAGTTTTCATTTATAGGGAAAATTAAAAAAAAACTGTACGCACAATTCGAGAGTGTGCACACGTAGCAGGGCAGTGAGCACACAAACCTCCCCACGAAGCGCGGTGGGCCCCACGCGCTGCCCAGACGCGCAGCACTCCCCCGGGACGGGGGGCCCTGCCATCAGGCGTCAGCCGTGCTCCCCAACCCCGGACCCACCGCATCCTGCGCTACTTCTGCACGGCGCTCGAGGGCTGGGAGCGACCCACTGACCGCCCATCACAAAGGCGCAGGGACCGTCAATGCCTCAGCTCTTCCGCACACCCAGCCAGGGCCCAGGAGGCAGTCACGTCTCTGCCAAGTCAAACCAATTTTTCTCCATCGGTCAATCAGCCTTACTTGCCACGGCTGTGTGAAAGCAAAACCCCGAGGTGTAACAGTCCACAGGTCAACGTGTGGAGAATGATTTACCTTTGCCGCTACACGCCACTACCACTGAGACCTCAGGCTCTGGTATCCAGGCACCGAGAGCAGTGCTGGGACAGGAGACGGAAATCCTGTCTCCATTCAAGAAATAACGCAGCTGTGAGCTCTGTTTTTCCTTCATTGTTTCTTCCTTCTCCCTGCCTCCACACGGGGACGTGCCCCAATGAGTCAGAAGCCATTTTAGGGACTTACTAACCCGACAACATTTTCTCCTGAAAGTCTCAAAATCAGTCTGATAGGAAAATGCTTCAATCTGATGGCCTAGAGCTTGGAGATCAAATGTTGACTACAGTGCGATTTAAAATTAGTGAGCAGCAAACAATGCCTTTACTGCAATGAACATTTTCCGCATCATTAATGAGACAGGGGTGCAGATAACAAGCCTGGAAAAACTAGAAGTTATGCTGTGCGATTTTAACATGTTACTATTTGCCCAAAAAAAAAAAATTCTCCATATTGGAAGAAGCGCTGTGAGAACGCAGTGGCAGAAGCGACGTTTTCAGCGGGCTGTGCGATCGCCTGACTCAGGCTAGAGTCCTCTTCTCCGGAGGCAGCACACAGCTTTCTAGCCACCAGGTAAGACACAACAGTCACACAGGCGTCACAGCCTGACTGTGAACAGGTCAAACGACAGAGAGTCACCCAGGCGTGCTGAGAGGCCCTCCCACACCCAGCTGTGACGCGTGGCGTTTGAGGTGATGGACCTGCGTCTGTGCGTCACCAAGGAGCAAGGAAGAGGGGAACAAGGAGCGGGGGCTGCACTCACCTCTGGCGACGCCGCAGCGGGTTTCCCCACTTCTCTTAGAAGAGAAATGTCGGTGGGGGCGGGGTGTAAAGGCCCCCACTTGGGCGGCTTTTGTGTCTCTGGTCTCTCACTGTTCTCTGGACCCTGCAGTTCAGGAAAATCCAACCTGGTAAATTCAAACTCAGGTTTGGAGGCAGATCCACTTTTTTCAATGATTCTGGATTTCCTGTCTGTTCGTTTATAATAACCATCTGTATTTACAGAATTAAAAGTAGGGGTAAAAATTCAGATGTTGTTTGATGACCGGTACTCAACACTTACACTGCAGAGCAGAACGCCTACTGCTACCGATGAACAACACATACTGCGCCAACAGCCCGATCTTCTGCTGGTGTTGGTGCCCATCTGCGTCACAGCGGAAAACGTAAGTGACCACGTGGGCCACCAAGCAGAGAAGCATAAACACCGCAAATTCTGGGAGAAACTCTGAAGCTGATGAAACAGTTACCTTAACCTGACTGCACGGCTGGACATTTCAATTATTCTTAACACACACTTCAGAGTCCTGTGAGTTTAAGGGCGCCCCAACAAACTTCCTTCAATAGTAAGTTTTCCACATTTTAGCTTGCTGGACAAACTGGAAGGAAGCATGGAGGACTGAACTTACAACCTCTGTCCCATTTTCGGGAAATGACTGATGCTGTAGGTCGCAGTGTCACAAAGCCCCCACACTTTCTAAATTATTTAGCTCTAAGGCTAAAGTTAGTACAGTTAACTGTTCAACCTACCTTTCACGTTACCATGTACCAGATGGTTTATGAGTGAAGTCAATGCAAAGAAAAAACGTATGTAGCAACATATGCTATACATGTAAATACTATGTGTATTACACATGCAAATAAAACGGCAGACCGTCCGCAGTGAGCACACTATTACCAAGGTTCTACGTCTTTACAAAACAGGTGATGGCCGTGAGCAAAGTGCAACAGTGAACGACTTACAGGGAAAGCCCACCACGCAGAAGCACTAACTTTCAGCCCGAGACAGAACAGCAGTTCCCGCGCCCACAGCAGACACGTCCTCTGAGTACCTGTCCTGCCCCAGCCTTGGCATTGTTCAGGGTGGGGTTTAAACCACAGTGAAACTCTCCCACCTACTAAAAAGTGTCCCAACAGAACAGCAGAGAAGCTGCTTCAGGAATGAACACGATCAGACACAGTACGCTGGGTCTAACTGTGACAACACATCTGGAGGCACGTGATTGTCACAGACTTGCTCTGCACCTTCACAGAGGTTCCTGCATAAAGCAAGGTGATAACATGTTAAAGGCATAGCCTAGACCCCACACACACAGCTCCCCTCCTTGGGAGGAGAGGCCTCCGGGACCCACAGGAAGTCTGACGGTCTCAGTTCTTCACGATGAACAAGCCCACAAAAACAGCTGTTCAGAGAACAGTGATGTTTCTGGGGGCAGACAAGGCGGGAAGACAGAACGCTACAGAGTGTGCTCTCTTTACCTGATTTCAAACTATTCTCAGCATGAATGGGCATATGTGAAGCTTTAACTGACTGTAAGTCAGATGATACAGGTCCATCGGTCTTCTTACTGTCAAACTTCTGCTCTTCATAGGCCTTCTTCTGCAGAAAAGATGAAAAAGTAGCATAAACTAAGAAAACTACCACTGTAAAAAAGGCTTAAATTTGCAAGTTCATAAGTACTCATAACTTAACCACGTTTTAAAAAGGTTAGACCAAGTCAAATTTTAAATACCTCAAAAAAAGTTAAGCAGCACTTAAATAACATACAAGAATGAAACTGGGAGCTGGAGATCTGCAGATACTGACAGGCATACATAAAACAGATAAACAAGTTTACACTGTACAGCACAGGGAAATACATTCAGTATCTTGTAGTAGCTCACGGTGAAAAAGAGTATGAAAATGAATATAAGCGTGTTCATGTATGACTGAAGCATTATGCTGTGCACCAGAAATTGACACAACATTGTAAACTGATTATAACTCAATAAAAAAAATAAATAACATGCGAGACTTGACCAGTGCTTCACATTTTAAATGCTAAAGTGACCAACGAAACGAAAACACTTACAGACCTTGAAGAGCGCTTTCGCATTCTGTGGGAGAGGGCACATGTGCTCATTTCGTGGCTTCACTGTCTGAAAACCTCCAAAACAACGGGGCTGGCTGTAATCATACTGGGGGCCAGGCACTCGGCAAACATTCCGTGGAGACTCCAGGGTGTAAGGAGGGTAGGCGTACGGGTGGAGAGTGATCTCAGGAGGGAAGTACTGAGCTGGAAAGGTTGAAGCTCCAAAAGCCGTATCTTCAGTACAGAGCTTCTGTCTAAATAAGAAGGGTAAATTTTAGCTGCAGATTTCATACTACGAACTGAGGAGCCTACTATTTTGCAACAAATAAAATTACACGTCTTATTACTTTTGAGGTCATCCTAGGATTGAAGTATCTCTGACTAAAAGCCAAACAAAACTTCCGAGCACTTTTCGCTTCACCTGCAAACAAAGATGCCTCACTAGCTCTGCTCTTCCCCTCGCACACCAGAAGAGCCCAGGGAGGCCCAGCAGCCTTCCACCCTCACGCGGCCTCTCTCAGCAAACCGCGCCGTCCAGACCGTCCTCCCCGCAGAGCGGGCTTTTGCAGAGCCCCTGCCACCGGCAAGGCCTGCTTCCTGAGGCCTCCGGACGCCCGCAGACAGCCTGCCTGCCCCTTCCCTGATCCAAGGCCACTGCCACATCCTGTCCTTTGCCGGCTTGCGGTCCGGGAACCACACGTCCCGCAGACGAGACAGAACCACCTGTGAACACCGCTACTGCTTCAACTTGCTCGAGCTACCAGGCTAACCCAAAAGGAAAGTTAACACTGACTTCAGCAAACGCGGTACAAGGCTAGAGGTTCCAGCCACTCTGCAGGGCAAGCTGATCCAGCGACGAAATGCTGAACACTGGATTAAACACAAACCACAACCCTTTCACTCCCACGAATGGGCTCCAGCAGGCGTTCCGGCGACTTTCCACAGCTCAAAATTCTCCTGTAGCAAATCAGCGAAACCCCAAAACGTGCTGGCCCACCCCGAAAGGCAGGACGCGCCACAGCTCACGAGGAGACATCCCACTCGGTCTCCCAGCCGTCCGACTGTCGGGAGACACGGGAGGAGGCGTCGCTCACCAGAATTTCCATTCGGCTGCCAAGCGAGAGCCTGCGCTGAAGTAGAAGGGAGTCCCTATTCAGACACGAGACCCACGACACCCTCGTGAGCGTGTTCCCTAGTCCTGCTTCCACGCAGCACTGAATTACAGACTGGCTGGTATCACTGTCCACTGAGTCATGATATTTTACAGCAAGTTCAGATCTCGTAAGATCTTTTACTTACAAGCAATTGCTTCTAGCAGTGAAGTATTCCTAATTAAAATCCCAATGAACCGTCTTTCACTGACTGACCTATTTTTTGCCCCAAAGAACACCTGGCCTCCTGCTGCTTTTAGTTGAGAAGAGAAAGACTCAAAGCTTCATTCCGCTCTCCAGATGCTAATACTAGATGTCAATCTGTTTCATTTTGTGAGATGCTCAGAAAATTTAACGAAGGGGGGACGGATGAAAGTGGAGGACCTGTTCTTCACAAGAGATGGGCAAGGATGGGTTGGCAGCAAACATAGTTTAAAAGACCATCCCAAGTCCTAAAACTGGATAAATGAACAAACCAACAAAATCTAGGTAAAGGAGGGAGGCGGGGGGTAGGCAGGATTTGGCGTTGGTTTTGAAGGCTGTTGTCACCTAGAAAACGTTCATCTGTGAATCAGGAGACCCTGGCTTGGGTCACTCTCTGGTTTTCTACTTTGGACAAGTCACCTGGGTTTCTATCCCCTCACTGGTCCTTCTTCCTCTAGAAAGTTGGTATTTTTCCAAGGCAAATACAATTACATGCAGAGAACAAGACATAACACAAAATCTGGCACAGCCAACCCGCAGCACCTGCTGGGGCTCCAAACAGCTCATCTCTAAAATTCCATTTGCCACGAACCACCCAGACGGCCCTTAACCACAGCAACATGCTTCCTTTATGCCCCATCGTCTCATCCCGCCCCCCTCTCCTTTCGATACCAGCAGCTCGCCTCCTAAAGTAAACCTCCCCTGCTAATCTCTAGCCCCACTCCCCTTCCCCGTCACCACCACGGTTCCCAGGTCTCCCAGGACCTCCTTCCTCCCAGGCTCAGTAGCCCCACGGCATGGCGTCGGCTGGGTCTGGCCCCTCCATGACATCACCGGAAACGCTCCACCAGCCTGGACTTGGCGCCCCCTGCCCTCTCCGTGCTCCCACGTGCCTCCCCAGGGCCCTCCGCGGCGCGGCCCCCTCTGCACTGCCCCGTCTCACCTGTCGGACCCCCATTGCTCTGCTCAGGACTTCCCTTGTGTGCCTGAGCTCCAGGGCTTTCACTGCCTGCAGCCTTCTGTCTCCAACTTTCAGGTCGCTCCCACTCACCAGTCTCCTCGCCCCTCATCCAGCACATGTAAGTCCAAAACTTTACACCTGGTCCCCAAACCAGCCCCCTTGCCAATCTGTGTTCTGATGAGTGACCCCACACATCTTCCCACGTATTCCACTGGAAACTGCCGGACCTTTCCCACCAAACCCCGGATGAACCACAACTGAACCCTTTTTTTTTGCAGCAGCAGCAGCAGCAGCAGGTCTCCACGTACTTTCCTCCCTACCTTCAGGGCCTAGAACCCAATCCAAGCCTGCTCGTCCCTCTCCCTGACAGCGGAACCAGAATCCAGGAGTGACTATCACGAGCCCATCCGAAACACACCCTATTTCCTACCAGGGACACGAAACTTCTCAGCTGTACCACGCAGGCTTCCAGGTGACTAAAGGCAGCCCCCTTAAACTGGGGGGCCTGGCTCCTCTGCTGTCTCCCAAACAAATCTTGCCTCTGGCGCCTCTGCCCAGGCCAGGGGCTGTCAGGAATGCAGCCACCCCTCCACCCAGCCCCCGGCATGAGCTGCGCAGACTGCCGATTCTCACAGGCGAGAAGCTCACTTAAAGGCATCCACTGGCGCTGTGATTCTCACAACTGCAAGACACTGAGAAGATCGACTTCAACAGCAACAGCAGCTCTGGGGAAGACGACAAACTCAGGTTAGAAGAATCGCAGGCCCCCTCTGGCTGGGGGCTGCCTGGGTTACCTGGACAAGCACTTCTAGCCTCGGCTTCCCGTCTGTAAAGGTAACACCACCCCTGCCTGCCAACCGCATGGATTGTGGCAAGCACACAGAAGCGAACCCAGACAGTGATTCCCAAAGAAAACACAGACGTCCCCATGCATGTGCCGCACCGGATCTGTCACAAAGCATGCACTGCGACCATCAGCAAAGCCGTCGTCCAGGGACGTCCCTGGGAGCAGAGAACCTGCTTTGTCTGCATAATCCCCGTTTGTTCATTACACCAGTAAATACTCAGTTCTTCCCAAACACGGCCCATTCTATATTCTATATACCAAACACTTCTGCTGGCACTTGTCTTACCTGTGTTATAGATCTGGAGGAGACCGGCAGCACACTCTCTCCCGTCCCCCCAGGTCAAGTCTGTGTAAGACCGACAAAACGTGGAGCCCAGCTCATGCACTAGTCTTTCCCCCTCGGAGCAACTAGTGCTTTTCCATACAGTAGCCTTTTGATAATTAACTCCAGATGAATAAATGAAGTCCCCTGGAGTGCACTATTAAAGGTACGAGAGGTGGATATTCGGTAAAAGGTCATGCCCCTTCTTAAGGACACACAGAATTAGGCTGCTATAGTGGAACAAGTAGGAAAGAGGACGTATGTTTGTTACAGAAAAAAAGCTCCTTTATTCGAGGCAGCAAGAGATGGCCATCTAAATGAAATCTGACTACAGCAATGCAAGTCTTCACTTACACTCAAATTGACCATCTTAGATAACCAGTTCTCCACGGTGTAAAGTCTCACATGTCACCCCCACCCCTGTCCCTTCTAACCTTGCCCTTTGGCTTCATGCTTCCAATTTTTTTTTTCTTGCCCGGCAGGAATACTGTCAGGCAACCTTTTCCGTGGTTATAAACAATTAAACAAACAAACAAACACGAAACCTATGAAGGAGTAAGAGGTTAAGAAATATTTTTTGTTTTTTGTTTTGGGGGGGACTAGGCTTATTTACTTATTTAAATGGAAGTACTGGGGGTTGAGCCCAGGACCTCATGCATGTTGGGCATGCACTCTGCCACCGAGCTATACCCTCCCCGAAACATAATTTTTAAATTCAGCATTATGCATCTTGGAGCCTCTGATCACTTTCTATTCATGCTACCGCCAGAATGCTGCTTCAGCTACACAAATGTTCTCCACCTTTACTCTGGGTCACTAGAATCTCTCCCATCAGATGGCTTAGAGTCCTTGTCACGGAGTGAGACACAACTTGTATTTTGTTACGTGACCCATCCAAGGTAGTGAAGATAGGATTTTTACATAAGCAAAGGCGATTCATGCCCTAAAAATAAATCTACAAGAAATCTACACAATTTTGTAAAAAATTTAATACTTATTTTTCTAAATTCAGCTAATAAAGGAAATCATCTTGTAAATACCTAGAAAATAAATCCTGAGAAGGAAAAAAGAACCCTTATAGGACAATATAAGCCTTCTTTCAACTCAAGTCTAGAAGAATTTATAATCAAAATTTATAGAATCCATTTCCACAGGACATGTACAAAACAAAACAAAACAGCAAAACTCAGCAATTTCCAAAGAATTATCTAACGCAACGGCAGCCATGGTTGCAAGGCTCCACTCTGTCGCCGAGCAAGACTTCTCAATGTTAAGCCCTAAAACCAAGCAGCACATTTACTTACTTGAGCTTTCCTTTGCCCCACTTCATCGCCCATTTGATAAATGATAGTTTTAAACTGTATGCACAAAGGAACTGCACTTCCTACTAATAAATGCAATGCAGTCTCCATACTTTCTTTGCCCAAAATAACCCAATGAGTACGGAAAAAGAAAAGGAGAGTCGAAGCTCCAGCTTTTGGTGCAGGACACAGTTAAGGTGTGCCACTGCCTCAGACCCTTCCTGGCTGGGAGCATCTTCGCTACTTGCTCTGAAGACTCTAATGTGTTAGCTGCAACATACATCAAAGTCTAGCCATCATCCAAGCCAAGCAATAAGCAAGAAAACCCCCAGGTAAGGCAAAACGTTCAGAAGCATACATACTCAGGCACTGGTAGTTCTTGGACACATGGATAGTATGTCGTGGCTGCACAGCTGGGGAAAACTCGTGCTTCTGACGACTCCGACCATGGCACACCGAGCCCAGCAAATTTGGGGACAAAAGGTCTGACATCTGCCGACAACTTGATGCCCTGAGGAAAAATAGGGAGGTTCTGGCTACATAAATTCTGAGATAAACTAAAATGAAAACAAAACAAACAAAAAAAACCCTCTTAAAGAGAGGAAGCCGGGGAAACGCTTAATCCCAATGCTGCTGTTCAAATACTTCTGCCTAGCAAAGACAAGAATTTGTTTGCTAACAATTTCTCCCCAAAGGCTTTTCCACTAGAAAAAGCAGCCTACCACATATTAAAAATGAAAAATAAGGACCATCAATTAAATTGGGAGTAAAATTCAACTTAGACTGTATAGTTAGAACCCACAACTGACGTTTCCTTAACTTCAACGTGGAATACGGTAGCTTACCTCTCTCGGCCAACAGGGACCCTCGAACTTAACTGCAGCACTCAAAACACACTGTAGAAGCTTATTTCTATTAAATTTCTCAAAGAACGTAAACAAAACACTTGCTTTTCACTCAACGAACCACTAGAAGTTGTTCTGTTGAAACGCAAAGGCTCTGCTAGAAAATCTCTCAGGAGATTTTCGTCATAATACTTATATATATAATATACATAATATACAATACATAATCGTCATAAGCCGTTGGAATTTGAACATACAAATCTGTTGGCTTTTTTTTCCTTTCAGCTTTTAGATCTGTCTTGAGAAATTCACTTTCAGTAACAGTTTATAATCACGCTTTTTAATGCGTTTGAAAGCCGATTTATGCGATTCCCAAGGCTCCGTGTCTAGAGGTTACGCTGAACACGTCCGGCAGACTTCCGCTTCATAGAGCGTTTTAAGTCACTCCTGCCCACTAGCGCAGTGGGCCCGCGCGGCCGCGCAGCCCCTACGCTGCCTCGGGACGAGGGGCGGTTTCCGTCGACGGCGTCCGCCCGGGGACTGAGGACGGCGGCCGCCCGCCCCGACGCCCCCCTCCCCCCGCTCTGT